TACAGAATGGCTCTCAACACATATTGTGTATTATATGTCACAGCTATTCTATAGTAACTGAAGATAACAAGGATATCATCGTGCATCAGCATGTGTGACTTTCCTAGACGATATTTTAAGTATTTGTATGTCTGGCTTAATTCAGTTCTATCTGAAATCAGAGGATATAAGACAATTGGACCGATAAGCCTGCTACAAAACTTAAATCTCATTGAAAATGTATGAGACGTCTTAACTACATATAATAAAATAACTGAAAGATGAAACTCGGTCAGCGCAAACAACTATTCATATCAAAAGTCCATTAAACATTTTTGAAATGTACCTAAAAGACTATTAATAAATAAACGTTTGAAGAAAATGTAGACAAAGTGATCTTGAATTACATTACTTTCTAGTGCATTTTGTACCTTCTACTTTGTTTAATGCTTTTCACGGTTGTATTTTATTTAATGAAATGCATAAACAGTGTTTTTGAAGTTCAATATTGAACACATACTTTTGTAATTTTATGTAAATATCTGTGTGGCTTAATTGGACCACCAAGAAGTAGTAAAGACTATGCCGTGCTTACAAAATGGGGTATGTCTTTCTATGATAAAGCTCTTAATAAAAGGTGGGATGGTCATAAAGTTGAAAATGTTGTATTGTTGTCTGATGTTGATCATTTTCATGCAAGTTTTCTTGGCTACTTTTTAAAGATTTGGCCAGACTATCCAATTGCTGCTGAAATTAAAGGGAGTTCTATGGTAATAAGACCTAAGATGACTGCAGTTACGAGGAACTATAGAACTGAGGACCTGTTTACAGGATCAGACTTGTCTGCCCTATTATCACGCTTTGATCGGTTTGCTGACGATGACATCAGAAATGAAGTGCAATATATGGCACGACCAGCTCATTCCTCTTCAGATCGTTTCCTTCGTTATTTGGATAATGTATATGCCGTTCCTTCGGCGTCGGTGAGGTATTCTCGACGACTTGAGAGAAGAAGAGTGTCGAGCTTTGAAGTGAACTGTTGGACTCAGATTTTGAGGTTTCGAAGAAGAAGACGCAAAAACTAAGGAAAAAAGTTGTTGTAAAATATATACTAAGCTATTATCTCCGTTTGATAAACTTACAAGGTATTTCTTTCTCCTTCCTAGCGTACCTTCGTGGTGTAGTGGTTCTGCATGCTAGGCCGGTATTTTAGAAGCCCGTGGTTCGATGCCTGGCGAAGGCGTTTGCTCATTTTTCATTTTGCCTCCTTTAAATAAATTTTAAAAAAAACCATTAATGTCTCTACAAACTCATCTTTGCTTATAAACTTAGATTGGCAAACCGCTTATAGCTGGCTTATTGAGACTAAGGCGACTAAGATGGATGTTTAGTCGGAAACTGATGCACAAAAATGTAACTTTCGTGCACGTACAGACAGTTTTAAGAATCAGAGGTTTTTTGTTTCACCTTCAACAGTACAAGAACTGTAAAATTAATAGAATTAATTATTATATTAATGTTGCTTGCATTAATTATAGTCCTTCAGTTATTCATATTTTTTATGTTTTGCTGTTTATTTGTTTTTTTGTCAATTTTGTATTATTATTTATTTGTGCCTTATTTTCTTGTTAACTTTGCTGCACCAGCGGCCGAGCGGTAAAATCGCTTAAAATTGGTACTTAGGTCCGAGGTTTGAATCCCAGCAAACGGGGTGGCTGCATGGGCGTTTTATTGGCTTTCCACTTGTGCGATGTATATAACAGTCAGATCCATTAAAGTGTCCTCCAGAAAGGCATCACTCTTTTACGGGTATAGTCTTCGATTGCTTTGCCATAATTGCATAAACGCTCTTGTTAATCTGTGCTTATTTATAGTATATTTTGTAGAATTCTTAATTTGCGGATCAATAACTACCTTTTTATGTGTTTAGTTAGCTTCATTCAGTGTACAGAGTTCTGCAGAAACACATGTTGAAGTCCTACAAATAGCTAAAGCTCAACCAGAAATGTAGCCAGGTAAAATTTACAGGACGTTGATGACTAAGTATTAGCTAAGACTGCAGTTTTTGAAAAATTTTGTTAGCTTAGTGACATTTCAAAGTTTTTAGAAAACTCTTTTTTGACAACGTAAGATTGATTTCCCTAGAATGTTCCAGTGATTTCGTTCTCATTACCTCCATTTGGACCACGGATGAGTCAGATTTAGCCTCCAAAGTGATAGTAGGCGCTACTTGATTTGGAAAGAACCTAGAACCCGTTATCCTCCATCAAACATCCGTGAAAGAGACGCAAAGGGAGGAGGCGCAGTGTCTGTGTTTGGGGTAGTATCTCTTTGGATGGACGCACAGACCTCCATGTCTTTCCACGTGGAACCATGAATGCTCAGGCCTATAGAAATGATATCCTTAATGCTTACTTGCGCTCTTATGTCAGCCTATCAAGAGTGTTTGAGATGCTTTACGAAAACTTTTTGAGATGCTTTACAAAGTTTATCTGCTCTTAATCTCCTCTTCAGACCCTTGCCACGCTTGCAGTTGCTTTGCAAGAGCAATGGCTCTCACTTCCTACGAAATTGATAGACTGTATAATTGACTGCATCGCACATCACTATATATGTTGTATTGCTTCTCAGGGAGATCATACTCTATACTGAAGGTAATTTTCCTATGCCAAACTGACACATCCGATTTGTTCATTGTAAACATATGCTAACTTCTACACCACCATAACTGTCCGGTAATTTCTTTTCATGTTACTTAATACATTACTATATGTTGAATACTCTGGGTCAGTGTTATTAAATTCTACATGTAACTTTTTAAGTAATCATCATTTTTATGATTTTTCCTTAATTAATAATAACCAGTGTATTATAGCGTAAAACTTTTAGTTCTGGTCCTACTTCCGCATTACGCCGATGTATGACTGAATTTCTGTTCCACAACTGCAGTCAGAGTTCCCTATTAATGATGTTGTGCAACTTCAAATTATATTAGATAATTAGATAATTGAGTTTAATGAGAATGATTCTTCTACTTGTCAACGCACTGCATTCAAGAAATCCGAATCACATCAGCTTTTGAAAAGAGGTCCTCATTATGAGCGAAGAAACTTGAAGCTACATTATTTCCAGGAAGCCATTTGATTTTCTTGTAGAATGCATGCTGTCAGGAAATAAGGAAATTGTAATGGGCATGCGTTTATTCTCCTGTTCAAATAAGATGATGTTATTCAAAAAGGAAAATATTTCATGAAATGAAGACTAACAAAATATCACCTCCCTAAATGTTGTTTATCGCTGTTTGACTAATCATAGAAAAACCTAATAAACATTTTGCATTTAAAAAATATTATAACTATCTCATACATCAATCTAATATAAAGAATACTTTCATAATAAACAAGATTGATAAAACGCATAATAAACAAGATTAAACTGAAATCCTTTGAGAAATTTTTGAAAGCCTTCCCATTAACTTCACTCCTGTCCAGATTTTAAAGATATAAAAAGATTTCGAAAGCATCTTCCCCAAAAATATAAAATAAACCTGACACATATTATACTTTTAGACATCTAAAATGTGTATTTAGTTGTTTCTTGAAAACAGTTTAAAATAATCGGTAAATATTTGCGCAAAACTTAATTAAATTATCATTGCAAAAGTGTAAAGAGTTAATATATCTCAGAAGACAATTTTCAGAATTTTAATTTTGCTTTCCATTACACTGAATAAAAGATTCTTATTGAAAATCAGGAACATACTTTTTTCTGAAATCATTTGCGAATTACAGTGGCTTACATTTGTTTCTGGAAACTTTTTTTTAGGCTGGCACTAGCCATTTTTGCCACTACTAAGGCTAGAAATGGTGATTATCTTATTATGAGGGCGCCTAAAATAAGCGTCCACCGTTACCTCCTATGAGAGGCCAGACAACTTACATGTCTGCCTTCTCTGGAATTCTAACCCGGGAACTTCGGTATCAGAGTCGGCTCCCCCACCCCTTCACCGTCTGGGCTGCTCGGACACTTATGTTTTACAGTTTTATTTGCAAATATCAGTTACTGAATTTTAGAAAAATTGCTTTGTTTTTCTTTCACGTACACTATTGGCCACTTGTTTTAAAACCTGCCTGTTTAAAAAAAAAAAAAAAAAAAAAAAAAAGGTTATTCAAAACTTGTAAAAAAGAAAATAATTTATTCAAAATGTTTTTGAAAATGAATTTATTCTAAAATTTGGCCGTTTTGAATAAACAGTTATATTTAATAAAGACATGAAAATAACAGGATACTCAATATTTCATTTAACATCCTTTAGCTAAAATATACTTATTGTAACCTTTGGTATAGTAGATTCAACTAATTTTTATCTTGTAAGAATGTTCCATTAGTTCTATTCCTCTGCTTTTAGTACAGCTTTAGAAGAAATGTGATATATTTTCTCCAGCTCATTACATACATATTCGATAGGGATTTAAGTCCGAAGAATATGAAGGAGCTTCGAAAACTTCAAGACAGGTATGTTATAACCACAATCGGACAATTAAAGATGACTGTTTTGGGTCGCTACTCTGATAGAACTCGAATGTATTTCTGCTTTTAATTAAAAATATTTATATTAATATTTATTATTTTTGATAAACACTAAATTTCTTGGACACCTGGAACTCTTGAATACGCGCCGAGTATGCTACCGTTACACCACGAAGGCATGCTGGAAGGAGGGAGAAAATACCTTATATACTCCACCTTTTAAAGGGCGACCGGGCATAAGAGGACCTAATCGCCAAATCCTGGTGGTGACGAATTATTGTCTACCACCTTTTCGTGTAGAGTCATTATACTTTTTTTTTAAGCAGGAGATAAGAATAATGTGCATTGCCCACGCTGGGACTCGAACCCTGGATCTCTCGAATACGCTTCGAGTATGCTTCCAATTACAAAACAAAAGCATGCTGAAAGTAGGGAGAAAATGCCTTATAGCATGCTCAAAAAAGTAAAAGATTAAAAAAGCTGAAACTTACTTTTGCATAGATTTTGCCCTTCTTGGACATGCAAAGGAAAGTTTTGGAGTGAAGGCCATAGATTAGTACCGTCTTTATCCGCTTCGTCCTAATTATCTTTATTACTGCTAGAAAGAAAACAAATAATGGCAGTGCAATTTCGCAAAGCAAATTTGTCCTTATATATTATTAAAAGTTGCTTAGAATGAATTTCAATTTCTGACACTTTCAAATAACTAACTTATTCTAACATTTTTCTTTATTTGAAAACTAAACACTCACGGCTAGATAAATAATAACATAATGATAAATGCCGCTTCTGTGCTTTCAACTTGTAACAGCAGTTTTAATAACATCTACAAAAATATGCATAGAATACTTTATATAGACTATTTGAAAGCAATATTTCAATAACTTTAACCTGTCTAAAAAAATTTAAGCCAAATAGAATGAAGTCCGTTTAAAACCACAACACTCTATTCCAGATGATTTTGGTCTTATGTGGAAAAGATATTGTTAAAGAAGCGATGTTAACTACCGATATTAATTTAATTCATTATGCTCTATTATAGCCTATTACTATCGATAATCCACAGTTCCAGACGATTTTGTTTTTTTGTGCAAATAATTGGAATCTTGAGAATATGATATTCAATGATGTTTACCGTAGAATATGATGTTTACCTTAATATATCTTTAATACATATTTAATATAATATATCCTTAATATATATTTAGAACCCTTAAAGTCTCCTAATATTTTTCGTATGCACTATAGATCCAAAGAGGCTTTAGATTCAACAAGATGAAAGATCGCTCTATAAGCCTAATTTGTTATTTATTCCTCTGACATAGTATACCTTTTGTAGATGTAACATGTTTTGTCGTTTTTTTTTTTTTTTTTTTTTTTTTTTTTGTATGGCTTTATTAGTCTTTATCAAATTTTTATACATTTTCACATGTGCACAATTGAGATAATAAGAATTATCGATCTGAAGCTATACTAAAAGTCAAAATTTCCTTTCCATCCACCTGCTTAATATCTGACAAAATAAACCTATAATAAGATTAAGAGAAGATAAAGTAATTTGGACAAAACTCTAAAACAATTTTCATCATCCTATCTAATGCATATTGAATGCTCTATAGACGAGAAACACTAATCTAAAATGAACAAATTTTTTAAAAACAAATATAAGAGAAAAAGGAAAAAAAAATCTGAAAATTTTCAGATTTTATATTGTAAGGATCTTAAGTTTTACTAACGTTTATTTTATTTTAAATCTTTACTATCACTTCTTATTTTCTACTTCCGGCCAGAATTAAAAGCGTTAACTTATTTATGTAAAATTTGTCTGGCGAACGCCAAGTACTTAAGTTGTGGCTTTTTGGCAAGCGAGAGAGAGGAAGGAGTTAGTCGAAGCAGGCCGCTTACCTTAGAAGTTTTACTCAGTTGCTGGTTGCCTTCCAGGCCAGAGGTTTAATCCTCTTGATAATTTTAAACGTATTGTAGTGTTAGCAGTTCTCTGTACTACATACGACTTCCTGTTAATATAAGGCCAATCTTCCACGTTTATTATTTCAAAGTTAAGAGTTTAGTTATATTTTTATATTCTTACGTTTAGACCACAAGTAGTGGGTCTTTGTATTCCGAAGTACGGAAATTGTAAAGAGAGAAAAATAAAGGGTTTTGTATACCCTTCTTGTGTATCCTGTCTACTTCCCACAGTTATTGAACATAGCTTTAGTAAGCTCTCTGTTCCGAGTCAGGTCCTTGCATGTTCCCAAAGAAAGTAAGAGGAACATTGAACCTGATAGTGGCGCCCAACGAAGAAGAATAACCATGGCCGAGTTTCAAGAAGAACCTGTGCTGCCTGCAGAAGCGGCTCAGAATCCAGAAATGCCAGCTGCCGCCCTGGAAGGATTTGGTTACATCGTCCAGACCATGCGCGCGCTTCGATGAAACCAGAAGCAACATTTAATGGAAACTCACCGGTAACCAGTTTTTTTTGGAAAAATTGGATGACCACTTCATGCTCTACCCCCCGTGCACGAATTTCAAAAAGTTACCTTAGCTACCAGCGCTTTGAGGGGCCAAGCGCTTAATTGGTTCAAATGTATAGGCAGAAGTCTCTTGGGTCAAGCAGGAAGTCCCACCTATACTTACGAAAATTTCAAGACTGCCCTACTAAAAGCCTTCCCTGTCGTAAGGGATCGTGCGAAATTAGAAACGGAACTTTTCAGTATATATCAGCAAAGAATCGAAAATCTCTCAAGCTTTATTTTAAGAAAAATTCACGTCTTTCAAACTCTTGTATGGAAACCGTCCGGATCCTGAGATAATTCAAGTGATTTTGCCGAGGTTACTGCCCCAAGTGCAAGACTTTATTGAATTAAGAAATCCGACTACACTGGAAAAGTTATTTGAGCTAGCAATCCAGTTTGAAAGTAGAAGAACGGCGGACATTGAAAGAAGACGCCAATATCAACAGCGAAACCAATTTGGTGCGCCAAGACTACAGCAAACTCAAGCACACGGCTACGGAAGCAAAGCGAATCAGTGGGCAAGGAAACCCGAGCATTCAAAAACAGCCGGCGAACGTCGACAGTTCAATAGCAATCCAGGAAAAAAGTCTCAAGGCCAGTGGAAAAAGAAGGAAAGCACGGAAATGAAAAAAATAATTTAAACTAAAACGGATTTCTGCTGACGGGAGGGTGCGGAAATCCGAAGGCCACGAAAACCCCTCTTCCTTCAAGTTAAATACAGTAATGGTGAAAAATTTGACTCTTCCGAAGATTGAAGTGTTGGTGAATAATATCCCAGCCACCGCACTCCTGGATACAGGCGCGCAGTGTTCCTGTGTGGCAGAAGATTTTTTTAGGAAGTATTTTCGTAAATATCGCATATATAATTCGGATAATACGACAGTGTTAGCTGCGCAAGGAGAAAGATGTAAGTGTATAGGTAAATTACCGCTGTATGTCCGTATCAAGGACGAACAAGTAAAGGTTATGTTTTTTATAGTAAAGAATCTGCAAGCACATATTATCTTAGGAATAGATTTTCTTTTCTTTCAGAGGCACAAGCAACGCTGGATTTTAATGAAGCGTCCCTTAAGCTGACAATGAAACCAGTTCGTGAAGAAAAGGCTGAACCGCCGATGTTAAACCTTGACCACCTGCCTAATGAAGAGCAACGAAGAATCCGACAAGTGGTAAGTGAATTTGCTTCGTTATTTAGTGATATTCCAGGATTTACTCAGGTTACTAACCATAGTATTGACACCGGAGATTCAATGCCAGTTCGCCACAAAGCATACCGGTATGATAAGAATAAGGAAAAAATTATAGAATGGCATATCACCGATATGCTACGTAAAAAGATCATAACGCCCATCTCAAGTAGTTATGCTAGCCCGGTGGTTTTATGTAAGAAAAATAATGACTATCCTTTGACACATCCAAAAAGGTGGAGATTCGCAATTGACTACCGTAAATTAAACTCCATAACTAAATATCCGGTATATCCGTTACCTATTATTGAAGAAATTCTAAGGAACATAACATCCACCAAATATATGACGACTTTAGACTTAACGACTGGTTATTTTCAAATAGGGGTTAGGCCTGAGGACGTGCCTAAGACTGCTTTTATAACCAAGTCTGGCACTTATGCATTTTGCGTATGCCGTTTGGCCTTTCAGGGGCACCGGCAACATTTCAGCGATGTATGGACATTGTGTTAAGGACCTGTTCTTGGAAAGTCCACATTTATCTATTTAGACGATATCATTATTACTAGTGATAATCTCGACCAACATGTACAGGATTTAAGACAGGTGTTTTCTTTATTAAATGAGGCCGGTCTAAAAGTTAATGTCGAAAAGTGCAAATTTGCAGCCCCTGAATTAAAATATTTAGGTTACAAAATATCTCAGAAAGGAATCGAGACAGACGAATCAAAAATAATCGCTGTACAAAAGTATCCGACTCCAAACACGGCGAAGAAGCTCTCTCTTCTTTTCTAGGACTTTGTTCATATTATAGGTCCTTTATAAAAGATTTTGCAGCTATGTCTGAACCATTGTTAAAATTAAAAAGGAAAAAGGCAAGATTCTCGTGGACGGCCGAAGCCAATAGTGCTTTCGAAAAATTAAAACAAGCATTAACGCAAGCCCCTGTGTTGAAATTTCCTGAAAAGGATGAGAATTTAGAAATTTCAGCGGATGCTTCGGATTATGCGGTAGGAGCGGTACTTTCGCAAAATCAGCAGCCCGTGGCATTTTTTAGCCGAACTTTAAATCAAACACAAAGAAACTATTCCGCGACCGAGAGAGAGAGGCACTTGCAGTTCTGTTAGCAGTGCAAAAGTTCCGAGTCTATTTTGGAAAGGCGCCAATAACAGTGTACTCTGATCATGCGGCGGTAACTAGATTGTACTCAGGGAAAAACTTATCCCCAAGGTTAATAAGATGGGCACTCAAGCTACAAGAATATAATCTGGTAATCAAGCATACCCCCGGAAAGGAAAATATCGTAGCAGATGCCCTATCCAGAATTAAAATAGATGAAGAAGGTAATACTGTAAAGGTGGCAATGCTCACAGCATGTACAATAAATTCCCGAGAAACTGTAATAACCGAACTGGGTAAGGATCCTGAGTTTGGAAGCATTTATGAGTATTTAAAGGATCCTGAAAATTTTAGCCACCAAGATATTGTGGCGATAAGAAATAGGGCGGCCCATTACGAACTAATAGATGGTCTATTATTTTATACAAAAACTACGAATTCCAACAACGAATTTCGACCTGTTATCCCAGCTAGTCTTAGATTAAATATCCTGCAGGAGCTCCATGACAGCCCTTTAGCTTCTCATGCTGGTATTCGAAAAACTATCCAACGCGTACGCGAGGCAGTCTATTTTCCTGAACTGCAAAAGTTAACAAGGGCGTATGTCCAGTCCTGCCCAACATGTCAAGCAGTTAATTATATTAATTTCCGCCCGGCCGGGTTTCTAAATAGTATTAAATCCGAATTTCCAAATGAAATAATTGGCATCGATTTATTGGGCCCTTTCCCAAAAAGTCAGTTAAATAAAAGTCGCTATCTCCTTGTTATGGTTGATC